GTGTGTCAGATATGACGGAATCAGTGTGAGATCAGATACAGTATAGAAGATAGAATGTGTCACATTCAGCATCTTTAGGTCAGTTTTATAGGATAATCAGATCATTGTATCACAAACAGACACCATGTGTCTGATTCGGCATCGTTAAATACTATGTATCAGATGCACTGTGTGCATCATTAGATCAGATGCAATATAGAAGATTCAACATTATCAGATGTAATGTGTCACGTACATCATTATCAAATCAGATGCAGTGTTTTACATTTACAGATACGGCATCAGACTCGATATAGAAGTCTGATTCAGCATCATCAGATACAGTGTGTGCATCATTAGAAGATACATCACATCAGACACAAAGCGTCAACTTCAGCATCATTAGGTCAGGTAAAACACGTATGATACAACATCATTAGTCAGTGATCAGAGTGCCACATACAGAATATCAGATGCATTGTATCACATAATGCAATAAATCAGACCTAATATAGAGGATTTAACATTACAATGTGTCCAATTCAGTATCATTACATTAGATGTAATATATATCAACTTAACTTAAGCATCTATATTAGATATAAGGTGTCACGTATAGCATCATCAGCTCAAATCAGACACAATGTATCAGATGCAGCATAATCAGATCAGATACGGCACTGTCAGACACAAACTGTAACATAAAGCATTATTACATTTATTTATTTAGCCGACACAATGTGTTACACAGCATCATCAAATCAGACACAATGTATCAGATTTAGCATCATTAGATCAGATACGGCATTATCAGACACAAAGTATCACAGACAGCATTATTTGATGCCACTTTGTATCGTCAGATCTGACGCAGTGTATCAGATAGAACATCATCATCAGACTGCTGTGGAGGTCCTGTCCAGCATCTGATCGACTTGACAGCTGTCAATCAAAAACAAGTTGATCAGCTGACCCCGTTTCTCAGCCAATCAGCATCTGGCATTCTGTCCAATCATGTGGTCTGCCGGAACGGTGTTTATGTGTTCAACAGCCACGACACACACACACACACACACACACACTCGCTCAGGAAGGTCATCGGTGCATAAATCCAGGCGTCTCGTGGAGCTGCATTCAAGCAGATTTCAGTGGATTCAGATGCTTGATTTGTGAAACTCTCTGTGTGTCTGTGTGTCTGCAGTCGGGTCAGTTCAGCGAGGACATGATCCCTACGGTCGGCTTCAACATGCGCAAGATCACCAAGGGAAACGTCACCATCAAGGTCAGGAGATCACGCTCTGTTGAGATGAAGCAAATAGCGCCGCAGAACGAAAAATAAAAACCATCGTAAATATTCATGCTTTATATACATTTACCTGAACAATTGCATTTAACAATTATTTCCCAATAAAAAAAGTTTTTTAAAATGAGAAAAAAGTAAACAATTGCATAAATTGTGTCAGTTCCTGATGGCACAAAAACATGCGCATATCTACACATACTTCAGTGTTGACCAAAGTTAATGTAAGAAAAGTAATCGAAATGAAATGTTCCTTTAATTTATCAATAACTATAAACATTGGACCTGAATCAGCCAGCTCCTAAAAAACGTGCATTTATATTT